GTGTCTCTGGGGGTAGCGGGGTTCACGGTCTTTCTCCCTCTTTATATTTGGTGTTTGGTTTTTTTAAGTGGGAGAAATAAATTATTGTCCAAATTGCTGCCCCCCCCCCCCCCATCAGCAGATTCCCAGATATTGTAAGGGGTGTACCTCTCAGTATTTTCTATTTTTCTCGTGTTTCTTTAGGACTCAAAGCGAAAAAATGCAGCTTTTTGATACTTGTCAATTGGAGGTACCTTCGCTGTACTCAAATTATTTTTCAGCAGATAAATGCAAGGCAAGACATAAATACCTAGGATGATAGAGAATTTCAAGTGCTATCAGAATATATAATTACTTTTTTTTAAATGTATTCTTATAGTGATGATATAATAAAAAAATTGACTGCAACTATTTTTTCCAAGGGGAGGGGGGCGATTTAAGCATTTAAGCAATATTGTTGAACATATTTGAGTGATTATTAAGCATATTTAAGCATTGTTTGAGCATATAGAGGCAAATTCACAAGATTTGATTTTTAAGTGGTATCTAAAATGTGTGTTGACATCACAGCTTGTGCGTAGCGCAATTGCAATCTAGTTTATTTTTATTTTTTAGTTATGTGCACGGTGTTGAACAAGTTGTAGATGATCCAATCAAGATTCCAACATCATATGGTGGACGTCTTGTATGGATTTTACCTGGAAAAAATCGTCTAATTGTACATTTGAAAGACAAAGATTTAATTCGCCATAAAAAACGTTGGAGTCAGGTAAGAAATGAAATATCTTCTTTTTCGTAAAATATTGAAATTAAATGACTTTTGAGGTCATGTACATGTATTATTTATTGGCATTCAAACTATTGAGAAGAAAACAGGGCCATAATATATCTCACCATACATCACGAACAGAAACCGATTTTATTGGTTTTAGTGACTTTTTAAAAAATTTATCTGAAGACAAGAAAATATTGGTAGGTCTGTTTTTTATGTTGTTCTTACTCTGCTTATTTCTAATTATTTTTTTTTTAGGCTCAAAATACTTTTATCTTAGCATTGGATGGTGATGTTGACTTTCGGTAAGTGAAAGTAAATAGGCGAAAGTCGACGTAAATGTCGAATTTTGTGTATTTTATTGTCCTCTAGACCTGAAGCTGTTCTTCTTTTGGTTGATCGTATGAGAAAAAATCCAAAAGTTGCTGCTGCATGTGGTCGAATTCATCCAACTGGTGATGGTCCAATTGTGTGGTATCAACAATTTGAATACGCGGTTGGTCATTGGCTTCAAAAAGCAGCCGAACATAAATTAGGAAGTGTTTTATGTTGTCCTGGATGTTTTTCATTATTTCGTGGTTCAGCGTTAATGGATGATAACGTAATGAGACGTTACGCTGATAAATCAACGGAAGCACTTCATTATGTTCAATATGATCAAGGTATGTGAAAACAAATATTAGAGTAGAAAATTAATCGAATGGTATTTTTAGGTGAAGATCGTTGGTTAACAACATTACTATTACAGCAGGGTTATCGTATTGAATATTGTGCAGCATCAGATGCTTTGACTCATGCACCCGAAACATTTCGTGAATTTTTTAATCAACGTCGTCGTTGGATGCCATCAACAATGGCAAATATAATTGATTTATTAAAAGATTCTCGCCATACGATTCATGTTAACGATAATGTATCAAAATTATTCATGCTTTATCAAGCTGTTTTATTTGTATCTACCGTTCTTGGTCCAGGAACAATTTTATTAACAATAGCATCAGCATTGAGAACTGTCTTCTCAAATTTAACATTAGCCGAATCGTATACATTAGCTGTAATGCCAGCCATTTTCTACATTATTATCTGTTTGAAGACAAAAGTTAATACACAAATAGCTATTGGAGCATTTATGACCGGTATAGCGCGAATATTTAGTTTAGAATCTAATTGTTTATTCTAATCGAATTGTTTTCTTTTAGCTGTTTATGCACTTGTTATGTCAATGGTACTTGTTGCAACAGCTGCACAAATATTTAAAGCACAAGTATTAAGTCCAAGTGCTGTATTTTTACCAATTGTTGCAATTGTGTTTATGATCACTGGTGTACTTCATCCATCAGAAATATTAAATTTATTACATGGTTTTCTATATTTGGTTACCCTACCAGGTGGCTATCTATTTCTAGTTACTTATGCATTATGCAACTTACATGTTGTCTCTTGGGGAACAAGAGAAACAGAAACAGTTAAAAAGCAACCAATTGAACATGTTGAACAAAAAGACGGTTCGTATTTGCACGGCAGAAATAATCATAATACATCTAGTTATCTACCTTTAGTCAACAAGAAAAAACGTAAATCAGATGTAATAGCTAATCTAATCTGGGGTGATAGTGATGGACAACATGGACAAAAAGGTTTAATTACTCATATTGGTGATGCATTTCAACAAATATTTCGACCAACAGCTAAAAAACAAGAAGTACTTTTACAAGCAATTATCGACAAATTAGATAACATCAATAATACAAAAGAAAAGCAATCGGTTTCTGAAAATCCTGTTCACACATCGAATCATTTACATGTTGATGGTATGTTTTACATAATATTTTTTAAGTTCATAAGTGTTATTTCACTTTTGTTTTTAGGTTCTACACGATTTATCAGTACTCATCAACATTCTGATGCAATATCAGAAACAAATATGGTACCCACATCATCAGTAGCATCAGAACATTCATCGATTATAGTACCTAATTCAACTATGCTCAGTCGAAATTATATGTATAATCCATATTGGTCTGAATTACCGTGGCTCGGTTCTGGTCCAATTGGATTTTTAAATACGGATGAAATTAGTTTTTGGAAAGAATTATTAGAAAAATATTTATCACCATTAGATAAAGATCCTGAAGAAGAAAAACGTATTAAACGTAATTTAATTGATTTGAGAAATAATGCTGGTTTTGCATTCTTTATGTTAAATGCTCTATGGATTATCTCACAATTTCAATGTGAATATGTATCGGGAAAATTTAGTGAATTTATGATTGATTTAGGTCGTGTGTATAATCGTCCGGGACAAAAAGTACAAGCATTAGGTTTATTATTTATGACATTTTTTTCCGCTTGTTTATTAGTTCAATTTTTAACAATGTTACTACATCGTTGGGGTACATTTATTGAAATTCTAGCTAGTACAAAATTATTTGAAAAACATCGAAAATATAAAATAAAACCGGGTACAAAATTAGATGGCATATCAACACAAGAAGCGATTGATTTATTAAAAGAGATGGATGTTGAATTAGCTAATTTGTCACCACCAACAACAGCGACACGTACTGTTACAGCTAATCCAAATGTACTTGAAATAACGGATCATCTAGACCAATCACAACAACGATCACAACATCAACAAGAACATTATCGTCATCCACACAATTATTATTTTGATGAAGAAGATGAAGAATTTTTAAATGAAGATACAATTATTAGTATACCACCACCAGATTATTTCGATCATCCTGCAGTTCAAGAAGCAACGGCAACGCCTCGAAGATATAATAATGGTAATTATTGAACATGAACAGTTTTTTTTTTTATACAGTATCTTTTTAATACTCATTGAATATACACCGTTCTTTTTTAGTTTTTTGTATCTACTGAGATTTTAATTTAAAAAAAATAATTTATTACAGTAATTTGCTTAATGTCAAAGAGAGAGGATATAACACTAAAACTTTTCGCGTAAATATTTACGTGAAACAAAACTATGTACGTAATGTGAACAAAAAATATATGAAGTACGATTCACATTGAGATGGTTATACTGAACAAAATTCATTTATAATAGACGTTAAGGATTGGATATTGATAAACAAAACTTTCGAAGTTTTCATTAAATTTCTTCACAACACCATGAACAACAAGATAATATTGAAGTGGAACATGTTGTCTGTTCAGAAAGATTTGGAAGAGCAGCTGTCAAACGAATAAGTGCTCTACGCAATATCGTATCATTATGACGTTCGTAGCCCGAATCAATAAAAACACCTTTAGGTAAATCTTCAGAAAATATCCTTAGGAGAAAATCTCCTTCAATATTGGGATCATATGTTGATGGAATAATAACAAATTGGCCCGGCTCAACAGTAAGATACGCTGATACTTCTCGTCGGTTTTTATATTCACCAGTATTACCAATTTGACGAAGATCTTCTGCTTGAAATTTACCAGTCACTGATAATCGTCTTGGATATTGAAGTAACGATAATCGACCCCTACTTGAAATAGTATCATTTAAATATATTGGCGGTACATCTTCCTGTTCGGGGATACTAGGAGTTAATAATTGATAAACACGTGCTTGAATATATTCATAGCGATCATCAAGTGCTTTTTCTGGACTTTTAGTTTCTTTCTGACTTAGTGCAACGACCATCGCACACCGTGACGTCTTTTTTGTACCTAATTCAATAACATATTGTGGATTTTGAAAATAGTAACATTTATGAGAACAATTTGCTCGTCCACAACGTCCACCTGCTATAGAAAAAGTTATTTAATTGTTTTTAGTTACAACTTGAAACGTGTTATCATTTTAGAGTTAATGGTACCTGACTTATCTTTAATCCAACTACCGTCGAAAGAAATCATTCGCCATCTTGGTTCGGAGAAAGTCTGAATATCACCTTTCGGTGTCTTGATGAGTACGGTTGATGGTGGCATGGTGGATGTATTTCCAATTTGAAGACCATTTGAATCAGTAAGAATTTCATCTGAAAAACTATCCGGTGATAAATGACAAATTTCGAGAATGTCAAATTGGGTGAAAAATTCAGAGTAATCCATCCAAAATTCTCCATCTGCTTGTATTTTAATAGAATGTCGTTCTTTAAACTAAAAAAACAGTAATATTTCGACAAAATGTTTGACAACTGACGAGGGAACCTTTTCAGGTGTCCAACCGCTTTTCTAACGAAATGCGGTAGTTTATAGGTAATCGACCATGTTGATTCCGAATATAATAGCCGTTTTTGCCCATAGGCCTTTTCTAACCGGTTTCTGGAAAACTGGTTTTCCAGAACCCGCGAAAAATCCCCGAGGGTTTTTCTAAATAAGGCACAACTGTAACTCGCGAAATTCTGATTAAGATGAGACATCTCCCAGCTCTACACGACCTTTCTTTGCAAAATTATAGAATTTACAAGAAAAGCCCTAAATGTTTATTGTCACCTCAGAGTTACAGAAAGAAGAAAAGGTGAATTTAGGGCTTTTCTTGTAAATTCTATAACTTTGCAAAGAAAGATCGTGTAGAGCTGGAAGATGTCTCATCTTAATCAGAATTTCGTGGGCTACAGTTGTGCCTTATTTAGAAAAACTCTTGGAGATTTTTCGCCGGTTCCGGAAAACCAGTTTTCCAGAAACCGGTTAGGAAAGATCTATGGGCAAAAACGGCTATTATATTCGGAATCAGCATGGTCGATTATCTATAAACTACCGCATTTCGTTAGAAAAGCAGTTGGACACCTGAAAAGGTACCCTCGTGAGAGATATTTCTGATCATACCACATCATCTATTTCTTTCCAAACAATATCACTGAAAATAATATCGAATAATATATCTCGTGTTATAGATCATAATTTATCTGCATACCTGTCTTTCCATCTTCCTTTCCACTCAATTTCATTACCCCATGGATTTCGAACACGAATCATTTTTATCATCCTTCCGCCATGATGCATTTCGGTCACAGCTGTAACAGCAAATGCATGACCAACAACTAATCCATTGTCTAATAGGTCCATGAAATGTATTCCCTCTTTTGGTTTTGGATTAATGCTTGCCGTCATCAATGAACCTAATTTCATTGTTTTTTGTAAAAAATTATAGAGAAAATCGTGAAATTCAAGATCTTGTCGACGTTCATCAAGTAGAAACACTTGTTCAATACCACCAGTCTAAAAAATATACAAATAGAAAAAGAAATTGAGTCAAAACATTTGGTGATATCTAGAGTAATGCAAGAGAATTACCATATCAGCCATGGCGACAGCGGCTGCTCCAATTTGCAATTTATCATAACCGCCTTGAAATTTTGCATAGGCTTTTTCAAATAGTCCTACCCAAAACTCTTCATCATTCTTCTTCGATCTGGCACACCATAGACGATTTGTTCCGCCGATGACCGGTAGAAAATCATCAATCTATAAAAGTAAAATAGTATTTTCATTATTCTACTTTTAAACTGAAAAAGTAGAAATCATTTTATTATTGTCAAGCAGCTATTTTTTCTCTTTCGCTATGTTGAGAAAACAGGGATATAGATGAGGTATGACACTTACTACAACACTGTACCATTTACCATAATTCCAGAATCGAAAATGAAATATTCCAGCATATCCTTCTTCAACATCAAACGATTGATCAGGTGGAACAACTCGTGAAAATAATCCAGGACGATGAGCAAGAGCAGCTGCTGCCGATATAAACCAACAATCACCTAAATAACCTTGTTGTGGATCTTTCCTTGAGATACCACCTTGAATAAAATAGGGTTTATCGACGATTTGAAATGGACGTTTCCAAACGATCTTTGGTAGAACGACATCTCGTACATTCTCTAATAGACTTTCGAATGGAAAATTGTTATCTACAAACAAACTATTTGTTGCTTTGCATATTTCCCGTAAATCTAAATAATCTTGACCGAATAACGGTGTAACAGTTCGTAAAATTGATGAAAGTTTGATAGCCATTTAAAGTCATCATTGAACTATTCAATCAGTTAAAACATAGATCAATTTTTTAACAAAAACAGCTTAGAGTTTAATCATTTTTCATTGTATTAAAGAAATCCTACTAACTATATTCACAATGAGAGCAATAGCAACTGGTTTTTGCGCACATTCTAAATATTATATAGTAAGCTGGAAATAAAAAGAGTTTTAGAATTGAAATTTTGCAATGTTGATACACTTCGTACAAGCTTAACATGTTTTGATGTAGTATGAAGATAGATTAGATATTTCATCCTTGTCGCGTGTGTTTTTTTAAATAAACATCAATGATATCAGTAAAAGGTTATCAAATTATCATGACATCTTTCCGTACATGATAGTTTATTATCGCTTATCAATCACTAGCATATCAACACTAAGTGAGAGATATCTTATATTCGGGTAAGAAATGGGCTATTGACTGACGTAGTGTATGTATTTTTGTATTTATCATTAAGGTTATTCATCTTCTCTCTAATCTAAATTTAATTGTTTGATAATTTAATTATAAGTGATTTTATGAGGGTTTTATTAGAACAACAAAAGAAATGTAACATGTTTTGCTTTTATTTGTTATATCTAGCTCATGGTCACAATTGTTTAAAGTAAAAAACATTTCATCATTGTATAGAGTTAGTATTGTGTTTGTTTTCAAAACAGCATATATCTTTTCGATTTGTTTACAACTAATTCTTCTCTCTTTCTCTCTCTCTCTCTCTCTTCTTCTTACGTATACATAGCAGTCGCATTATAATCATATATTCACAAATACTTTCTTAATGTTTGTTGTCAATTCAAAATTATTCATGCATTGCGGTTTTAACTTATTGTCATCTATAAGATACCCGAAATTTTCGTTTTTTCTATATAATTTTTCCCACTGGTTTTGCGGTTTTCCAATATATTTCTTTTTTCCTCTTGTCAGCCTATAAAAATTTTTCGAAAAATATATGATTTGTTTTTCTTCGGAATAACCCTGTCATGAAATAAAATTTAAAAGAGAAACATGCCTATACTTGAGACGAACGACGTAATATAGAAAAATATAAAATATAAAATGATAACAACCATGTCACGCCTGATGATTTTGAAAATCGTAAATATATGTATTTGTATGTGGTGAATAAATTTAGATTGTATTTCATGATGAAAAAAAAAAAAAAGAGATGAAAGAAGAAAAAAGAGAAACAATGGATAAAAAATTTGATCAAGAAAACAAAGTCTAAGGGCAAGTACAAATATCTCACGAACGTCAATAGCGAATTCAGAAAGGCGAAGTCTTTTTTTTTTCGGTGAATATAGTTCACTGGAGAAATTTAAAAATTTCACTAAGCAAATCATAAAAAAAAGTTTTAGAATATTATGATGATGAAAAATGAAAGTTGAGTGTAATCGCATTCAATGTACTTTCTTCCAAAATTCATCATTTGACAGTTCGAAAATAAAGATTCTAAAGTCAAAACCTATGTCCTCTAATAGAGACTAATTATAACTTTTTACAATAATTTAACCTTACCACCATTACATTGAGATGATTCTGCATAATATTTGAACTATCATTATACCCTATATACAGTTTTTATTGGATGATATGTACATTAGTCTCTATGATATTGGACTGTGACGACTAATGATAATAGTTTTGACTTTTATTTTTGGTGTAGAAGAGAAAAATACCAAAATGATGATAGTTTGATGAGTATTCGGATGATATAAAGAATGACTATGTATGTACCACATAAATGCCTGTATTCATTGATTTAAGTGTCTAGATTTCTCATCATCTATTAAACTAGAAATAAACAGTGTTCTTCTCTATACTTTCTTTTTCGTTATTTTTTTTACAGTTAATTCAAAAAATATGCTGTACTCTCATCATTAGATCCACTCATACACATATTTCATATCCACTATAAATAGTTTAACAGTAATTTTTAAGTTTTATACGTCATTATTATCATCGATAAAAGAAGGTTAGTAAAAAATAATTATTTTATTTTCTATGAAAATATAAAAATTGAGATTGAAGATGACTGTTTGAATATATTAAATAGTGTTAATAAATATAACTAAGATAAATAACTGGATGCTTGTTGTACATCCCTATTCAGAAAAAAGTTAGTGATGATAAATAAGTTTTAATACCATACCGTATAGTGTAGATATTTGAATTTGTGAGTAACAGAAACATGGATGTGATTTGTTTTTATGATTTAATTTAAAGTTAAATTTTATTGATCGAAACTCATTAGAGTGAGACAGTCTATTGATGACTTAGTGAAATTATTGTTGACATTTTTTAATCATAATAATCGTAATAACTTTTTTTCTAGAGTATACTTCTTATCTATTTGAAATAGTTGATATGATAATGCTATGATTGAATTTTAAGAATAATTTATTTGTGTTAGACTCATAAGCATCTAAAACATTAAAGCCGCATATCGTCATAGCTAATCTGTTTATACTGAGTTTTTTTTTAACTTTTTGTTTTCTTGGTGGTTGTTTTTATATTATTAGTTTCTTTGTCTCCAAATATATTTATCTTCATTGTTGTTACCTGTAATTATAGTATTTTTCGAATATTCTTACCTTAACCACACACATACATATGATGAAAATTATTCGGTAGGCATCAATCATGATCACACTGTCAAATTAACCACAAAATACACACATTTTTTTAATTGGAGTGTTTTTTCTTAATTTAGCTCTTGAGTACGTGTTAAACGATCACACGAATATGTGATCATAGCAAAAAATAGCAAAAATTAAAAGTCTTTTCGATTATCATAATTGTAGAGAGAGATATATTTATGTAATATTCAGATATATAAGGATTGACAGATTATGAGTATATTTTATCAATCATTGTGGTATAAGTTTCGTTCAAGTATTTTCTGTTATAAAAGAAGCTGATTAGATGATTATCTGATCAATATGCTGCTTGTGACTGTCAAAGCACTGAGTTCACATTTCAGTACAAAGTGTAGCTGATTTCTAAGATATACAGACGTTTTGTCTTCCTTATTGTTTGATGTTCAATTTCGTTTATATCTAGGCTACTACACTTATTTTTTCTAAAATATTCTCTAGTTATTATTTGTACCGAACAACATATTTTTTTGTTTTTCTTTATATTTAAGGTTAAACATGTATTGATCTGTCAAGTCATCAGAGTAAACAGCACAAAAAAAAATAAATATATACACCTACAAATAAACTGCTATTTTATACAAATACCTAGTTTTGTACTATTTTAAAGAGAAGTTATAACGATAAGAGGGGTGATCAACCGGAACGAGATTAGAATATTTTGACTAGTGATTATCATTCAAACTCATTCAAAAAAATATGAATAATATCTTTAGTTATAGACAAAAAATAATTTCATAAATAAATAATAAATATGTGATTTTTTCAGAAGCACGTATAGTTTTAGATATTTTACAGTAATAATACAAGCTCTTCTTCTCTATTCAATCAACAACTAAAAAATTTCTCAGGACATAGATAGTGACTATTTAAGATAGATCCATATGTTGGCATATTTTAAGTGACTGTGAGTAAATGGTTTCTATTTTTAAAACTGTAAAATTGTAAATGATTGAAATGATAAGGTCATCAAATTAATCGTATGAAACTTTCATTTTCTTCATCTAACGATTATAGTGTGTTTATTTTGTATTAGTTTACAACCTAGAAAAAACAACCTAGAATCTCTTTCTAATAGTATGATTCGTCATATTGACACATAGTTTCTATTAAAAATATCCACCCTAAATTTTTGATGTTTATCATTGCATATTACTTTTATATTTGTCACTAAGATATATAAACACTATAGCATTAACATCCCTAAAAAAATTACGACATACACAAAAAAAAAGTATGTCTTTTATCCAATACTTCGTGGATACGCTTGAAGTAAAAAACTAACTATACTATGTTTAAACAATCATTTTCTTTTTCACTCTCTCTGTCCGGACCATAGACGTAGGCCACTACCCTATCTACCACTAACAATGCATCATCCTTTTCTAATCGGTGGTATGTAAGAGAGAGAAAGAACAAGTAAGTGAATTTTTTATCTAAATACGGTGGCGATATACGTCAATGATTTTGTGGATTATGAAAGAATCGGTTTTAATTTGAAAAACCGCAATAAAAAATTTTATGCGGTTACTAAAACAAGGTTTTTTGAAGTCTAGCATGAATGTAAAGCAGAGAAGAAATATATAAAAAGTACACATAATACTAATTTCTTTAGGAAAGATAAAAAAGGCAGAAATTTTATTAACCTAATATATACGTGTAAAAAGAATTTCCAGAATATCTTGAACTACTGGCAAATTGAAGTTTATTTAGTGAAAGTATGTTGTTGGAAAAAGAGCTGTTTTCATTTCTTATATCCTTCAGATCTTACTATATTTTTCACATATGAAATGCGTTAGAACTGATACGTTACATTTTAATTGAATTTCCATAACGAAATATTCAGTCTTCTCTTGCCATTATCTTTCTATCTCAAATAGATAGTACTATTTTGATTAGTTATGCATGAGGAATTAATCACTCACATTTTAGATCATCCTTGAGTAGCTGCTTGCGTTTATCTACGATAGTCAGACAAGAACATCACAATGGATCCCCGTTTTGCTCAATTTATGCCGATGAATGGTTTTCAACACAATGGACGTTTAAAACATAAAAGACATCGACGAAAACGCCATGATGAATCGTCTCTTCTTAGTCGCGATGAATCCATACACAAAGTTGGTAGAACACATCACCATCATCATAGTACACATGGTGGTAAGAAAAAAGTTCGATTACTATAACTCTTGTATTAGAATGTCGAACAGAAATTTTCTTATTCCAGAAGATATTGTAGAACATGGACAACCGTTCCCAGGTGGTCAAGGACAACAAGGCGGTTATGGGAATCAAGGAATGGATTATCAGCAGAGCTATGGAGCACCCGTCTATCAACATCATCGACATCATCATCGTCATTCGCGACGTGGGGAGGATTCATTGGTTGGACAATCAGCAGGTGGTCAAGGCATTGGTAGTACATCAAAGTTGGGTGAGAATCGTTCGATATCACGATCACCTCTACGCGATGCACAATTGGGTTCCAGCGAGCAACGAACCGGAGACCCAGTGGAAGCAAGACATCATCATCATCATCGCCGACATCGACACTATGAGCAATCAGAACTATCAGGACGACAACATCGTCAGGAATCATACTTCAGTGACGTTGAAATGAGTGGATGGAGGACTACCATAAAATTAAATGTACCTAAAATATTTGAATAAAAGAATTTGAAAGTGAATCTGAAGCAGAGGATTAAGGTCGTTTTTTTTTGTGGACGTATTTGAAGTATCGAACCTCTTCCGCGTCATCACTCTAGTGGAGCAGGAGGCTTCGGTCATATAAATGAAGACTTGATCTTTATCGAAAGAAGTGGTCAACAGCAACGTCACAGACCGCCAAGGGGCTACGAGTACAAGGGAAAAATTGAAGTTCAAGGTATACACAAAGACTATAGAAGTCACTCACGCGGTAGACAGACTCCTGTGTTTCCGCAACCAATACAATTTCCTACCCCTATCGTGCNTCTTCCGCGTCATCACTCTAGTGGAGCAGGAGGCTTCGGTCATATAAATGAAGACTTGATCTTTATCGAAAGAAGTGGTCAACAGCAACGTCACAGACCGCCAAGGGGCTACGAGTACAAGGGAAAAATTGAAGTTCAAGGTATACACAAAGACTATAGAAGTCACTCACGCGGTAGACAGACTCCTGTGTTTCCGCAACCAATACAATTTCCTACCCCTATCGTGCAACCTGTTGCTCAACCAATGAATCCCTGTCCACCTGGATGGCAAATGATTGTCACTGGCGGACCGCCAGGTGCTCCAATAGGTTCGGGTCCAGTTGCGAGTGGTGCCTTTGGTCCGGCAGTTGGGCTTGGTGGTGGAATTATCAGTAGTGGAGGAGGATTTGGAGGTATTGGACCGATCGGTGCATCAAGCTCCGGAGGTGGTTTAGCAAATTTAGCAGCCAGTTTACCGATACCCCCACAAGGTCAATTGATTGCCGACTATATTGTTGAACAGTCAGCAGGCTTGGCAAGCGGCCGATATCCCCCACCTCAAGTTGTTGTTGATGGAGCTCAAGGCTCCGGATCATTGTAAGTGTTTCTTTTGCAAATCTTTCACTTATGAATAACAATAATCTAATATTTAGTAACGAAGTTGTCGAAGAAGTCTCAACAAGACCTACAATTATTGAAGTGTGGCAAAAAAGAACAAGAATGGTAATTTATTTTCCTCAAAAAATCTAACTTGTAAACAGAAACGGCTTCCTTTTTAGCATTCGGCTAAGTCAGCCTCATCAATTTCACCAGCGCGATCTGATAGGGGATTAGATTTAGACAAATTTAGAAAAGAAATACTTGATGCTATTTCGTAAGAGATCTTTTAGCATGATAAATTTGATTTAAACTATGAATTACTTTATAGACGAATATCTCATGGACAAACAGTTGGACCAGGTCGTGAACCGATTAGATATCATTGGACTGGTCATGATGGAGGTAAGGCAATTAGATCTATTCATTATCTACTGAGCTATTTTTCGAATGGAAATACACACTTCAGTGTTTAATTGATTTTAGAAACTCAAACTGAAATACATGGCAATGAAATTGCATGGCGTACATATCAACGAGAAAAAGGCACACAATCGGAAGGCGGAGCAGTGACACCAGGCCCGATACAACAAATTGGCGGTGGCGGTGGTGAAGTGAAAGTTATTGTTCAACCAATTCAACCTGTATTTTACATGCCTCGTGGTCCACAACAGCAAGTAGGTCCTGCATCATCCTCAGCCCCGAACGTTGTCTACGTTCCACGCAATGTTTACGTTCCAGTCATTAAACCTGTGTTTGTTCCACGTGAACGTGAGTTTTATTATTTGAAAATTGTTGCTTAACAGTATATATTGAAATTAATTTTTTAGGAGTTATTGTTCGTCCTCAAATAATTCATGTTGCTCGACCAGTCTTAGTCGATCGTCCTGTACCCGTCACTCAACGACCTATCATCATCGATCGTGAACGACCTGTTCCTGTACCCATCCGTGCTGCAGCAAAAGTACAGCATGGTCCCCAAATAATTCGTGAAGAATACGTTTATCGAGATAATTTACCAGTTGCCTACGGTGGACGATGTGCAAACCATGCGAGTGGCGTAAGTTATGGTTATATGCCCACACATGTTGAAGATCAATACGCATCATCAGGCGAAGCCATCTATCAAACACAAAGTGCACCACCTACTGTCGTCGATATGATTGTACCCAATCAATTTTATCGATCTGGCTCTGGGTTAGATCTTCTGAATAGCCCACGTGGATTACAACAATCAGCTAGTCTTGCTGGCGTACCGGTTAATCGTTCAACACAAATTGAAGTATTAGATACAACCGTTAATCCATTTTGGCAAAAAACCGATCAATCCCATTTATTGTAAGTATTCTCTTTTAATTAATAAAAATTTTTTAATGACTGAAATTTTTTCTTATTGTAGAAGACGTTACGGACGACAAGCAGTTGACATTGTTGGTAAAACGGATCAACTTGGTGGTATGTATTCAAGTGGTAATGGTATCCTACGTTCAAATTCAGTTAACAGTCAAATCGGTGGTCTTCAACGAAGCGGATCATTTGGATCGATACCATTGGGTGACATCAGAAATTTACCGCCAGAAGGTTTCGGACCTGGCCGACGACCAATTAGAGTTAATTATTAATTTATTAATTCATTCATTGTTAATTATCTGTTGTTGTTGTTTTATTTTATTTGTTTATTACGTGAAATGGATGATTCTTCAAAAACACAAAACAAGATATATTATTTAAACAAACGCATGTTGTATTTTCTTTTTTCTTTTCTGTTACCATTGTTTAAAATCAAGTTCACATGAATGACATACATCTACTCAGTACACTATATGAACGTGCATGTACACGAATGATAATATTGAGAAGCAAATAGACACTCAATAACAGTTGGATAGTACCTGACCTAAGCTATGTAAGAGATCAGTTCATTATAAAAAATAAGTAAATATTTCACTCGTTTTAATGTTATTCGGTTCATTTTATTAGACTAGAAGGATATAGAAATATCGATATTTCTTCTTCAGCTTCCATTTTCTGTTTCAATTTTATTTTTTTTAGTAATTAAAATCATTAAGTTTGTTCATAATTTCGTTTAGATTTTTTCCACTTAACCATTGTTTTTTCCTATTTGTTTTTTGTTTGTATTCGTAAATAAATGAGCAAATCGACAGGGTAAAATTTTAGACTACAGATATTGATAATATGCTTCAACAGAGATTTAATAATCCTTTTTATTTTTAAAATTATTCCAATTTTAAATTAAATCATGTTATTCAAAATGATCGAAAACAAAACAATTCATAAAAAACAATTTCATATTAGGAAATTAGATTAACATAATTTATTTCCACATTGAGCTCCGCATGTTATATCGGCATTTGTTAATTTACAGTCTTCCGGAAAATTTAAAAATTGACAAATTGGTTGATTACACGTAGCTAAAAAGATAAATATTTAATATAAAGCATATTTTTAATAACAAGTACTTACTAGCTAATAATGATGCTGCTTGGCCATTACAACTAGAGAAAAATGTATGAAAACTATGAATGTATTCTATAGAAGATTCTAAGATACTCACTATGAACTATCGCAGAATACCCAACCAGAATTTCTTTCAAACGTTAACACCTCGGTGGGCTGTGATGTCATAAAACCGTGTTCCCATGAACATCCACGATAGATGACTAAAGCAAAATGGTCATACAAGAAATTATGTGAGTGTATGTGAAATCTTCTTACCTCCGTTATCGTTTCGATTTATTCTTGTATAACATTGTCCATTGCAAGGTGTCGCATCTAGTTTTAACGATGCAGCCACTTGTATTCCACATGCTGGATTATGAGAGTTACATTGGTAACAATAACCAGCAGCCAAAAACGCTGAACGGAAATGGCAAAAAAGTATTATTATAATTGCATAATTGTTATGCCTTATATTCATGAGATCAAAAAGTGAAGTCAACAAAACTGAAAATTAATCATTACCTGTATCTATCAGCATGAATAATATCGCTGTTAAAAAGATGATATCTACGGCTGATATTTTCATTTTATCCTAAAATAGCTGATAAAAGTAACGAGACTGATTAGACAACCCTGAGACACACAATGATGACAACAACATTGAAAGAATATTTTATAAAGATTTTTCTAGATTTATAAAAAAAGAATGAAATTAATATTATCCTTTAAATATGAAAGTATATTCCAACTAATAATGACATTGAAATACGATACTTATCTTTGATTTGTTAATATCACATATATTATAAG